AGCGTCAATGTTGACATGCAGTGATAAGTGCGGCCTCTGATACAGAAACTAGAAAGTATTGGGAAAACCTGCTCCGACCACTACAAGGTCGTCTATAGAATAGATACCTTGCCTGCCTGAGGGAAAACCCAAAGCTGCAGCCCACTTGTCTCTTGTGTACTACCGTCGGTGGGGATATCCCAGGTCAAATCAAAGGCCTGCGCTTACACAAAAAAAACCCAAAAAAAAAACAAACAAAAAACACAACAAAATAACCGTCACCATGCTAATCTTTTATAAGCCAATTGTGGATAAGAAAGGTGAAGGTCGGGCGGGAAATAGATTTTCTTCGCTTCGTAAGATTTCTAACATCACAATTCTTTTTTTTTTTCCACACGTGGAATGAAAAAATTCTTTTTGACCTCACTTAAACTTTTAAGGACACAGAAATTATTTAAAGGAAAAAGTTGAATATCCAGTAAGTGTCTCCCACACATTCCTTTCTTTCCTTCGCCTCGTTTTGAGGAACAACATTTGCAGGTTAATAGGGATGCAGGGGCGGCCACTCTTTATCTTTTTCTTCTTGTATGGAGGGCAACTGTAGATTGTTTTGTGGAAAAGTGGGTGGGGGCGGCCAAAGCACTGGTCCGCCCCAGGGAGACGCTAATTTAAACCCTCGCTACGCCATGCACTGGAGGGATGTCAACCCTCGCTACGCCATGCACTGGAGGGATATCAACCCTCGCTACGCCATGCACTGGAGGGATGTCAACCCTCGCTACGCCATGCACTGGAGGGATGTCAACCCTCGCTACGCCATGCACTGGAGGGATGTCAACCCTCGCTACGCCATGCACTGGAGGGATGTCAACCCTCGCTACGCCATGCACTGGAGGGATGTCAACCCTCGCTACGCCATGCACTGGAGGGATGTCAACCCTCGCTACGCCATGCACTGGAGGGATGTCATGAAGGCCTAGTTTGAAAAAAAAAGAAAAGCTACAGCTGATGACCTCTCAAAACTGATTGGATTTTTAATGTCAAATGTCTCCCATTCAAAAGTGCACATGTCCTGTTCTATTATTTACTTCACACGGCTTGAACGCAGCCCCTTTCATATTCATGCTGAGAGGGGTGGGTGGGCAGGCTTGCCAACCATCCATTAATATTTTTGATCTAAGATGAATTGTCCGTAAATTTCTGCACCAACTATAGGATGTCCGTCATTAAAATTGAAATGTTCCTTAAGGCTTTTGAAACGGAATAAAACCGGAAATTGGGACTGTTTTGTGACTTCTCCTTGTTTAATGTAAGGCTGTCGAACGACATGCACAGGAGAAATCAAGCTGATCAACGTAGATAAACGTTGCTACATCTCTTATATATATCACGCTTCTGTGGTGACGCGTGGACTGCTTCCTAATAAGCTGGCTGCTTCCCAATTTACTACTTTCTATCAGCGAGAGTATATTACAAATAATTCTGAACGTTTGAAAGAAAGTTTGGTTCAAAAATGAGTTCAATAGCGCGCAAAATATAATTCACGATAACTACGCTAAATGATATTTTTATTTATATAACACAACTGCCTTTGGCGCGTAATATTCTCTTATTGGAAAATGAAATTGTCTCAGTTTAACTATGGTGTAAAAAAGATTTTGTTTAAAAGTGTTTGGGACATGAGAATATTTCGTAGAGTTCATGGGCGTGAAATAAAAAAATGTGCAAACAAGCTGTATCATTTAAAACCCGTTCTCTTAAAAAATAAATCGTGTGACATTCAAATAGACACAACGACAAACCAGGCGTATGCCATCAGTTTAAGTAAAGGTATTGAAAAGGGTGGAGTGGGAGAGATGAGTCACATCTACCAGCATTGATAACTTGATGGTGATGGCGGAGTGGGGTATACCAGCTATATTATATATATATATATATATATATATATATATATATACATTGAGAAAACATTTGTATATTAATAAGTTGACCATTTTACTGTTTCTCCAAGGACTGATTTTCTTTACATTTGATTCACTTTGTCCAAAGCTGAATCCAATACTAAAACTACAAAATTTTAACAAATATTTATATATATATATTTTTAATCTACCAAAAGATCGAGTAAATCTGATCTCTAGGGAAAATAAATGAAATATAAAAATACATAAGCCAAATACCACTGACTGAAATCTTTTGCCAGAACGTTATAGTTTTCATCAGTTTATATAATATATCATATACATGAGGCTCTTTGCTATTAACAGCAACGCGGTACCTCACCATGTCTTGCTTGTAAAGGGAGATGGGTCGTGGCTTTTTTTATTCTTCTACTCCCTGTCTTACCTCCTGGACGGAAGGTCCATATTTAGTGCTCTGGTCCCATGATGTTCTCGCATTTTGAACCGCTCACCTAAATATGTTCCTCCCCTTTCACATTTTGTAGATCTCCCTGCGTGTACTTACAACACAATCATGTCAGTCTGACATGACTGTGAAAAGGTTTAGCAGACATTTCAAGTAGCGGTCAAGAGCTTAGAGAGGGGGGGGGGACTTGGGATCTCATTCAAGATCCACCCCCAAATCCACCTTCTCCCTCCATTCCCCAAGAAATAAGTGTGTACACAATTTATTTATTAGCAAAAAAAAAGTACAGGAATGAAGTTACCGAAATCACATTTCGGGTTCAAACCAGTTTTCCAAAAAAGAAAAAAAACAACTAAAACCATTGGGCCATAAACATAACGGTTTTAACATCCCAAACCAAAAACGTGCTACACTGTGTTTCAAATTGGGTCACAACATCCAAGATTTTATTGTTTAAAAGACACATCTACATTCAGAGCCAACGGCCATTTCTGACATCCAGATGGGGCTTTGATCAATAAGTACGTGATCCAAAAGCAAAACTTCTGGGTGCAACAACATTGTCTGAAACCCTTTACTGTGACGGTCTTTGGGGGGGGGGGGGGCACTTCACTCAATACACAATAAAGGCCTGTAATAAGTACGTGATCCAAAAGCAGAACTTCTGGGTGCAACAACAGTGTCTGAAACCCTTTACTGTGGAGGTCTTTGGGGGGGGGGGGGTGCACTTCACTCAATACACAATAAAGGCCTGGTTCATCTACAGCCATTCTTTCTTTTTCAAGGCAATGTGTTGTGACCTAGATACTCTTTTACTGAACTTTCTGTTCAATTGTGTATTTCTTTAATAGTCTGCTTTGAACATGTTGCGTAGGTTTTCAAAGTCTGGTGTATACCAGGTTTCTATTGTCGTATGTTTGTTGCGCTACTCTTACCTTACATATTTCTTTAATAACGTCTAGATTTCGATTTTAAAATTATTATAGTTTAACAAACAAAAGTATTTTAGTATTTTTTCCCCAAATGCAGCTTACAACTGATTTAAAAATAAAGACTTTTGAAATCTATTTAAAAATGTAAATCAAATAAACAATAAATATAAATAAAATAAAATCCACAACAAAAATGACTATTGCAACTCTCTTCTGTCAGGTTCACCAAAACACTGCATAGAAAAACTGCAGAAAGTTCAAAACTCAGCTGCTAGGCTAGTTTTAAAGGGAAAAAAACGTGATCACGTCACTCCACTACTCCATTCCCTTCATTGGCTACCTATACAGGCACGCATCGACTACAAGTTGTCTGTTCTATGTCACAACTTTTACTTGGATTCCTGCCCTTCATATCTAACCGAACTTCTTTCTGTCTATTCACCCCTTCGTCAGCTTCGCTCCCCTGGAGACACGCGTATTCTGTCCGTTCCCAAGACACACACTAAAACATATGGTGAACGATCTTTCTCTTTCTGCGCCCCCAAACAATGGAATTCTTTGCCACTACACATACGCAATATACCAACCACCCAGGCCTTCAAAACTCCACTAAAAACATATATTTTTACATTATACTACCCTGACTGATTCCCCTTCTCTGACCGATAAATGATCTTGCTGGCTGCCGTCCATGGTTTGCCTTGTAAAAGTTATGTGGTGGGGTGGGTGAATATACATTGCTGTACTTTATTTCATAAATATATTTTATTTTAATATCATGATTATGTAACTTTTGATAAAATTGTTATGTACAGCGCGGTGAGCCCAGCCCTAGGCTGGGGTACCGCGCCATATAATACCTCTTATTATTATTATGTAAAATAATACTTGATACTGGTGTTAGAAATGAGAGAAGATACATAAAAAATCTATTTACAGGAAATCTTGGGGTAGGTAGTAGTTATATTTAAGTCTAAGACAACATCTTGTTTTCAATTAGGAAGATAACTGTAACTTTCTTATCTTTGTTAAACGAAAGTTTGATCTGGGAGTAGGTCAGGTCATGTCAGAAATCCAATTGCGTGGGGCAGCGCCTCATTGTGGAACGGGCTAACTGGGTCGGTTACTAGGGCTAGGGCAGCTGTTGTCGTGAGTCGTGTGCAGCCATGAGCTGTAGAGACATCCAGTAGCGGTTAGCTCATTCCTGCCGCCAAACCATGCAGGCTACATTACTACATGCCCGGCTGTTTGTGTTATTGATGTTATTTGTGATTATTAATAGACGTGCGTAGGTGAATGTTGTGATTTCCCCACCACCTAGTCACCGATGTCTGGACTTGATACACCGTTGTGCGGTCATGCATTGCAAGGTTCAGTGATCACCGTGTGCTCCGATAACTATGAGGTATGTGCATGTTTTCTGTGAATCTATACATTTAGAATTAAAGAGAAGTGTGTTTGTGGCTTTGTGACTCTGCTATATAAACATTAACGCTACAGATACGTGATCTGTGTTTTAAAAGCAATGTAATATTTTTAAAGAAATGCAGTCTATTTATTTTTCACAGAGGACGATAACCATCGTAATTACACCGAATCTAGCGACACGTCTTGTGTGGAAAACAGAGAAGAAAAACAGAATTTCCAAAATAGCGATAACCTTGACTTGTATGACTAAGTGGATCTTGAGGCCAAGATAAGGACTGTACGGGATAAGAGACGGTAGTTTTTCATCATTTGTTTTCAAATCACCTGGTTGGACTTGCTTGTGGCTACCAAGTTTGACAAAAGTTGTTGTTTTTTTTCCATTTCTTCTTGTTGAATCTGAAGTGAACTTATATGAATAAAGCTGAAGACATTTTAAAAAGCTCACAGCAGGACTTCGGTTTCATAATGCTTAATATTATGTGTTGCTAGGACGATTTTTACAGAAATTTTCAACCTTAAAAAGAACCCCCAAAAAATGATTACTAACGTGATCGTAGTTATTTGCATTGTGTCCATTCCAACATTTCTGTCCGGGGGAGCTGCAGGACAGCCACACCCATCCAAGATTGTGGTCATGAACAGTGGTGGAACAGGAGGTGGGTCGGACTCACCTACACCTTTAAACAACCACTTTAACACATTCCAGCAAGTCATGGACAGTTTGAGTGAGGATGAATCTGACAATGGTGAAAAGGATGTTGACAAAATTCAAGTGGGCTCACCGTTGCAGACATTGCTGTTTAATGAAAGGGATCCCATTCAAACAGTGTACACAAAACAGGATTCTGGGGATATCCCGAAGGAACCAGATTTTTATACGGAGTATGCCAAAGATTCATCTATGCTCCACGAGACGTCCTCTGCTGTAATAAAAAGACTTTGCAATGTGAAAACAAAGAAGAAGACTCCGTGCGCCCAAAATTTATGTCAGTGCGTGGGTGATCTTGCCGACTGTTCGGGAAAACCATCTGCACCGAACATTGGCTACGCACCAAAACTGCCGGAAAACATCAAATGTATATTTCTGGCTAACAATGAAATCAAATCGTTGATCGAAAGCTTCTTCGCGAATGTTTCCAATTTTCTCGTGGTTGACTTGAGTGGCAATTATTTGAAGACCATTTCAAACAGGACATTCGAAAGATTAACCAACCTGCAATACCTTATCCTAAACAATATGAAGGGTTTTATAGATTATAAAATGCTACGCAGTGTGCTCAACAAACCACCCAAACTACGGCTTGATCTCATGGGGAACGGGTTGAAAGAGGTTCCATCAGACTACTTCTCTAATTACCGAAACAAAACGATGGCTCAGATTTACATGGATTTCAACCACTTCCCTGATCTGAACCTACGAGAGTTCTCCCAGCTTGAAAAACTCAGTTTCCTCAGTTTCGCAAACTGTAGCGTGAATTCGGTGACGTCAGCTTTAATGCCACGCTTGACGGGGCTCAACTTAAAAAATAACGTTATCACCGCCTTTCCCAAAACGTGCGACGAAAAGCCGACCGTGTCAGATGTTGGTGATAATCTAAAGAAAAGTGCCAACATGACGAAGATCACATTATTTCCATCTCTCTCGCAACTTTTAGACTTGTCTTCGAACTTAATCACCACACTTCCTGCGTGGGACGAGTTCTGCCTGCCAAAACTGCTCACCCTGAACCTCGATCTGAACAACTTCACGAAGATTCCAGAGAAAACGTTCACCTCGCTCACGTCTCTCAGGCTCCTGAGCCTTATAAGATCCCTGTCTCCCATCACGAGCATAGGAGCCGCTGCCTTCGGGATACCGAACATGACGACGTTGCTTCTGAATAAGGACGGCATCGACTTCGGCAGCCCGAACGTCAGCACGGCAATGTTCGAAGGCGCTTTCAAATTCTCGCTTTTATCTTTGAAAGATAACCACTTTGGAAACATTTCGGAAGCGTCCATTGAAGAGCTGTTCTGGCACATGCGAGGTTTAAGAAATCTGTACATCAGTTTCTGCGGCCTGAAACAGATCCCCGTGCAGGCGCTCTCTCAGCTGTCCCACCTGCAGAAGATCATGCTGTCCGGAAACGATATCGTGGAAATACCGCCGAAAGCCTTCGAGAGTCTGAAGGAGCTGGAGAGATTATCCCTCGATGCGAATCACATTTCTTGCGTCAGGGAGAACTCGTTCTCCAACGACACCATATCCAGGCTGAAGGAGATTGACCTGAGCAAAAATGACTTCCTCTGCAATTGTGACCTGCTGTGGTTTCAGTCGTGGATGAGAGAGGCGCCGCCGAAGTACTTCGCCAACTGGAAGCTGTATCGCTGTTCTGACCGCCCGAGTGTCGCCGTCCAAGACTTCGAGCAGAGCCTACAAGCCTGTCTACTGGGCCAAACAGCGAAAATGCTGTTAGCGGTTGTGACTGCTGTCCTTATCGTGCTTTTTGTAGGATTTGCGATTGGCTTCCGCTACAGGTGGGACATCAGGCTCTGGATCTACGAGAAGAGGATGCTATCACGTGGTCTGGGTTTCATGATACCGGAAGGAGCGGACCCATACGATCTATTTATAGTACACTGTAACGATGACGCAGAGTGGGTAGAGAAAGATCTGGTCAGCGTCATAGAGGTAGGCAACTTTTTTATGATTATGTTTCCTTCTTACAAGATGGGTATTTCTTTAATTTACACGGCTGGACTGGCTTTGGTCATAAATTACATGATAATTTACACATTCCTTCTTAAAAGATTGGGCTTTCTTTAGTTTATACAGTTGGATTAAGTTTGGTCATTGTTGTTGTTCGTCAGTCAACATCAACTAGGACCATCCCGTCATCCGGTTAGGGGGAAGGGTGGGTTACAGTGAGTTCGTAGAATTTGGTCACAAAATTACATGAGACCTCATACATGTTTGGTTACCTTTTTAGTAAACTTTAGCTTCAATCATGGAGAAGAACATTGATTGGTAAGAATATGATGGATATTATGTTGAGAGAAAGTAGATTTTTAGAAAGTCAACACGAAGAACACTTTCAGTTATTTACTCCATAAGAACACCTTTGTCAGTAATGCAATAAAATCAGTGACGTGTTGACGTATTTTGCTAGAACACCCCATCAGTGACGTATTTCACTTGAACACCCATCAGTGACGTATTTCACTTGAACACCCATCAGTGACGTATTTCACTTAAACACCCATCAGTGACGTATTTCACTTGAACACCCATCCGTGACGTAGTTCTCTTGAACACCCATCAGTCTATAGAAATCCCTTCCTTAGTGTCTTACGCATATTTCAAAAAAACAAAAAAGTTACACCTATAATCAAACTGTTTTGCTATGTGACAGAATCGCTGGAAGCTGAAGGCCTGCTTACACAGCAGGGATTTCCTGGCAGGCGGCCACATCATCCAGAATATCATTGATTCCATGAACAGGAGTAAACTCATCATGGTGGTCGTCAGCGCCAACTTCGCCCGTAGCAGATGGTGCAATTTTGAGCTACAGCTTTGTCAGTCGTAAGTACAACTCATTAACGATACTTTTAATACGCTCTAGCGTCCGTAAAATCTGTATTTTTGAAATACTTGTATTGAATCACGTAAAGATTTTTATTTATTCTAAGACAGTTTAATGAATTTGAGCAGTGATGTCATTAGGGGGTTGGGAGGCTGTATCGCTGTGTTGAGATTATGCATCTTGTGGAACCATCAGAAGTATTAACCTAAAATGACTGTCTATAAATGTGTTCACATTTCCAAGGAGTTTTATGAGGTGGAGGTGGGGCTTAAGGAAAACATAAGTTATCGTATTGGGGGACACCCTGCTGACGTCACTGCTCACTTTCCCTCGTATTATTCCTTGCAAGCTTATTTCAGTATCTACTATAGCTTCCACATCTCTTATGATTATGCTCATTGTCATGATTTAACAAACTGTAATTGATCGACACCAACAGGCATGTTATAGAAAATGACCTTAGGATACTGCCCGTCAAGTTGGATGAGATCGAGACTCGTGACATGAGCGCCGCTCTGCTGGCCCTGTATAAAACGTCTTGCTTCCTGGAATGGCCGGCTATGGACTCCAATGACAGGGACGAGGTCTACTGGGGGCATGTGAGGACTTTCTGGTCACGCTTAAGGAAAAGTTTGAGTGAGTTGATCAAAGACAAGAAGGAGCAGACCAGCGTCATGGTTGTGGATGATGCTGGAAGAAGGTGAGGCACGGACTGGACAATTCTGTGTGTGTATAGATGTTCAAGTAACTCAACATGGAAACTCATTGTATAGGGCTGCCAGAATGCTATCTGCGACTGTTTGGTGTGTGGGTCTCGTTCTGTGTATCCAATGGTTTTAGTGGTCAAAGAAGCCAGGCTCTTATGTCTGAAACAGGAAGTGAACAACAGTCCTTAAACCTTTATTCAACAGCATCAACCAGACAGCTACAGTACTAGAAAACGGGTTTCAAAGATTAAAGATAACACATTATGTTGTGTTTAAAAATATGTGGAACAACTTACAGAATTATGAAGGAACCAGAAACATAATTATATACACTTCTTTTTAAATATAACTTTTGAAAAAAGAATTAACATAGTTACCGCTATATGAAATTGTGAAATAAATTTGGCTTATGGGACTAAAATTAAAACAAAAGAATGTTGAACGCCAGTGAAAATGAAATATCGTTAATTGAGAATGCACATTATTTTAATAAAAAAAAATAATGTTGAATTATTTCAGAAATGAAAAGGTTTAATACACGTCTTTGCAAAGTATTTGATGTATTAATGTACTGAAATGTAACTAGATACTTGTTTTCGAAATGTTGCGAGGTACTAATCCTTATCCCATTCATTGAAGTCATTTTACATGAACGTGCCTCGATTTCATTTTCATTGATATTTTCTGACAAATAAATTGTTTTGACTCTAATAATTTTTGATAAATTAAATATCAACGCCGAGTAATTTTTTAAAAAAATAATAAGTAGACACTTTGTTTTTACCTTTCATTTTATTTTGATCTCGTAGTCATGCTTTTAAGTAAACCGTTTTTTTTCTTCTTTAGCTTAGAGTTGTGACCATGTGTTTAATTACTTTATGTATCCATGCAGCAGAAAGTACATCATCATTATTTATCATCAGCCTATGTGCTTACTATATTACAAGAGGTTTGTGTTGTTTTGAACACAGGGGGGGGGGGGGTTGAGTGCCCCCATTTTTTTCTGAACTACAATTGGTTTTGTTGTTTTTTTCCCTCTGTATCTGTTCCTACTCGTCGTAAGTCCCCTTTGATAGAACTTGAATTTTGCCCTTTAATTCATGTTGTTAATTTCTTTATGTATCCATGCAGCAGAAAGGACATCATCATTATTTATCATCAGCCTATGTGCTTACTATATTACAAGAGGTTTGTGTTGTTTTGAACACAGGGGGGGGGGTTGAGTGCCCCCATTTTTTTCTGAACTACAATTGGTTTTGTTGTTTTTTTCCCTCTGTATCTGTTCCTACTCGTCGTAAGTCCACTTTGATAGAACTTGAATTTTGACCTTTAATATAACCCAGAACAGTGGTGTTTGGGAGTAAGGGGGAGGGGGTGTGGAATGGCTCGTAAGCAGTGGCGTACCCGGCGAACTCACTAAAATGCACCCCTTTACACATAGTTTTATATTATTTTAAGCCATTAAATTACCGCTCGAGGTCGTATTCCCCTTTACACCCCCTAGGTACTCTGCTGGATATAAGAGACATGGGTGCTAATGCTATGTCATTGCATGATATACACAAGCATATTATGACAAAGTGAATGTTGGCACATCAATAATTGGCTGGTGTTCTCACGAGACCTTCAATAGCATTGTATCTCTCAACTTTTTAAATAGGGCATTTCCCACGTTTCATATTTTTGGATCACAATGAATCTCATGTTTTAAACATATTGCCCTATATTAAAAGAGGAATCTCTTATGAAGTTATAAGGACCTAAAGGAATGAAATGTGTTCTGAATGAATTCTTTTTAAATATGCTTTTATATTTTAAAGATGTATATAATGCAGAGTACCCCTAATGCTATTTAGTATAATTTTTAAAAAGAAAACAAAATATCCTTACCGGGTATATAAAAAGCAAAATATTAAATTTGATGATTCATAAACATTGATTTTTGTGCGATATAGATGTAGTCTATTTTCTTTTAGATTTTGTTTTCATTGCATTTTCAAGTCATGATTTTACTTAGCCCTGGTTTTGTGGTGAAGGAAGCACGTTTCTATAGAAGTGTGTGTGTGAGAGTGTGTGTGTGTGTGATTTACTTTCGGGCTGATATTTGCTTTGCTTCATAGCACCATTTTTCGTAATCTTTGCACAAATAATAACAATCAATTTGTGTTATGCTTACAAAGTCATTGGAAATTTAATATGAGTAACATCGTGTTTGTGATATGTGAACACTATTTCGGACTTTAATGTAAGATAATCAGCACATTTCTAACTTATAAAATGTTTCAATTTTTTTCAAATACACCTATCAGGAAAATATGGATACTATTTATTACATATTTCATGGCTTTAACAGGGGAAAGTCTACGAAACACAGGGACCTATTTATGTATCATTGCCTTAACTGCGGAAATTCCACTAAACGTAAGGACTTATTGATGTATCAGTATCATGGCCTTTACAGGCTAAACATAGGGACTATCGATGTGTTGTATCTTGAAGTGAGGACACTGACATAGCCGACTACGATGAGCTGTGTGGGTTTGATCACGGACAAGGAAAGCATTATTTGACATACCGGTACAAAATGTTCCTCCACAACAGGTTTTAGCGCAGAGTTTGATGCTGTATACTTGCCTTCAGGCCACGTGATAAATATATTTAAAAAAAAAATGATAATGGCCACTTTGATTTACAAATTTATTGTCTTGTTTTGTAATTCAAGCTACAATATTTCATGTTTTGGATATTCCTTTGATTGTGTTACAAGGAAATGAGAATCCTTTGTGTTTAGTGTTCCTTGTTTTATTTCCTCCTCTAAACCTGATCGAAGTCCCCCCCCCCTTTAAACCCCATATTATTCCATGATTATGTAATAGGAACTCAACAATGCAAAAATCTCGAGTCTGTGAGCCTTGCGTCTTTTGTTGGTACTATCTTCCAATAATGACAGCACAACAAGATACATTTCTTTGAATGACACCTGCTGCGGGGATATTTATTTTTCGAGATCCGCCCCCCTCCCTTTCACGCAACCACCAACACCCACAAGGCCACATATTAAATCTCCTAATACTTATTGCCCACCCTCATGTGGTACTTAAGACAAGAGTGGCCACTAACAGTTAGTAGCCTATTTCGTCAAGTGAACCCATAGAGACGTACGACTGTTCGACCCAGTTTCCAAAACTTCTAGTGACATAACAATCTCTCCAACTGAATATCTACCTGTCTCTCTCTCTCTCTGCTTCTCTCTGTCTCTCTCTCACACTCTCTCTCTTGTCTCCTTTTATGTGTTTCATATTAACAATGAGACTAAACTTATTGGAACAATAAAAGATTGTTGTCCTCAAGATATGTTTTCCCCCCTGAAAGGCACATAATTCCTTAAAAGTTGTAATTACCGCACCCTTCCAATAAAATTTATATGTGCCGGTTTAAAATAACATCAATCCTTGCCTACGGGCATTGTAAGTTATGAATTAATTGTGCATCTGAAAGATAAACGCCATGTGCATAAATAACATAGCCATAAAACAGCGACCTTCTTCTCATTGTATCTGAGGTATCGAGGATGCCAAGAAATTCAAGTGCATTTTATTATAGTTAGGACATGGCTACGTTGTACCCATTCTGCTGCTAAATGTTATAGAATTTGGTTTAAGTAACATCAGTAAGCTTATCGAATAAAATGTATATTTTGTTCTTTTCTCGTTCGATATTGATTATTGTATTTATTCATTTGAGTTTTTTTTAAAAAATTATTATTGTTTGGGTTGTTTCTTTTTACTGTGATAACTTTGAATAAACATAAATAAAGTGTACATAAATGACATGCCTTTTTCTCTTCTTGTTTTGACTTTTTGTGTGTACCGTAACAAGTTACTTGGTAACGACATCCTTACTTGTACAAGCACGCCAACAAATTCCTGAGATGTCTTTAATGTAGCTCCAGTCTTTTTATTTCCAATTTTCATTCTGACAATAAAATGGATTTGCACAGGGGTTTCCAAAGTGTGTGCTGCGGCGCCCTGTGGAGCCGTGATTTCCTCATAGGGGCTCCCAGAAGTGGGGAACTCCCCCCACAGCCCTCAAAAAAAGTGCTCTTGTTAAAATGTGGCGTGGGGCACCAAGGGAAAAGCTGGTTGCGGGGAGGCACCGTGACTCGAAAAAATGTTCTGAACTCTCTGAATTGCAGGACAGCAATGACAGTGGTAACAGAGTCTAATGGCGGGACCAAGCCATTTCGCACAGGTTTTAGTTGAATCAAACTGGTTATTACAATTATTGTTTGAAGTTGTCTTATTTAAACATGGTCAATGATAACATAAGCCATGGATTAGGTGTGTGGGGTGAAGGTGTCATGGTTTTGTTAACACCTGCTCATAGACTTGGTTGTGTGGAGTGAAGGTGTCATAGTTTTGTTAACAACCACTCATCATAGACTTGGTGTGTGGGGTGAAGGTGTCATAGTTTTGTTAACACCCGCTCATCATAGACTTGGTGTGTGGGGTGAAGGTGTCATAGTTTTGTTAACACCCGCTCATCATAGACTTGGTGTGTGGGGTGAAGGTGTCATGGTTTTTTTAACACCGATCATAGACTTGGTGTGTGGGGTGAAGGTGTCAATATTTTTATTAACACCCGCTTATCATAGACTTGAGGATGTGTGATTTCCAATAAGCTTATTGAAAATTTATTTTTGCAGACCAGATTATGACTAATTTGTCGTGTGGACGCAACTGAAGGAAAATTTTTTTGGGGGAGGAGGGGGGTTTAGATGTTATTTGTGGAATATAACCCAGGACATTCAAAGGAAATTACTGAGGGACAAAAGGAAATTATATATTGGAGTTTTCCTCTCTTGTAAGTTGACTTATCCAATCCATCCAAAGTTCCTGAATTGGTTTATTTCTTTTCTCTATAGCCCACAAGTAAATTATTATGTCATTTCCTTGTGTCAATCCCATCCTATTTGGGTGTTCACTACACATGACAGCCCTGTAACTGATAACATAAAATCTTACTCAGCTCGTATTAGTTAAGGTGTCACTCCTGCATGGGCGCCCGCAGAAAACTTTCTAGGGGGGGGGGCAAAAAAAATCAATTAACTTTCCAGGGGGGGGCAAAAATTTTTTAGTAAGGTTTTAATATAGTTTGAATCTACTGTAGCATATTTGTATGGTGAACGAACGGACATGACATCAGCTTAATCACTTTCTCTTTATTTTCTCTTTTTTCTTTTTTTTTTCTTTTTTTTTAATAATTTTTTTTTTATTTTTTTCTAAAATTTTTTTATCCCATCAATCCGGGGGGGGGGGGGGAAGTGCCCCACCTTGCCACTACCTGCGGGCGCCCATGCATGCCTGAAACATGTAGTGCTAAGGTGACACGCCTGAAACATGCAGTGTTGATGTGACACGCCTGAAAGATGCAGTGCTGGTAGTCTTGTTGTGGTATGCCGGTTTCTTCTGTAACACTTC